ATTATATGAATAAATATATATAATATTATTAGTCTTGCAAAATTAATGATTATTGTAAATAATATGTAAAATAGTATAAAAATGTTGTAAACAAAAATTATGTAAGTTAATTATTTTCCTTTAATTTTTTTTATATTTAAATTAACATGAGAACTACGCCCTATGCATGATATGCCGCATCAACATTTTTAACATATGTCGCATCCACTAAACATTGGGTAACAGAAGATGGATACCAAGTCAATCTAAGTTGGAAGAGTTTAGTTTCCTTTAAATAAGATTTTGAGTTTGTATTTTGTTAATAAAAAAATAGGCATTTAAAAAGTTTCTCTCTTACAGAATTTGACGTAGTTTTAATATAAATTAATCGAGATTTAATGTAATTTTCAAATACCAAAAGTTAATAAAAAGGAAAAAAGAAAAGACCATTTTCATCCGGTTTGGATTAATTGCCTTTGACATACACTTACGGGCTAACATACTTATATTGTATGTTAGGGGCTAAAGTCTCAGAAATAATAAATTTATTTTTTTGGTATATTAGAAAAACATTAAACTAGAAAACTAAAAACGGAGGGAGGAGTCCCCCCACATGTCCCCTTGCAGGATTGGTATTTTTTCAGCTGGTGGTGTGACAAAGAAGTTGGTGTTGCCTGGTGGTACACTCCGTCAAGTGCTGCCATGAAGTCAGCAGCAGCATTTCCCTCTCTCAAAGTGTGCTTCACAGTGAAACTTTGAAACCCTAGTTCACGTTCCTTTCTGATGAATTGCACTGCAATTAAAGAATCCATTTCAAGAACCAAGTGAGAGACACCCAACGTTTGGCGAAGCTTGAGACAATCTCTACAACCCAGGGCAACAAAGGGGATTAATGCAAAAATTTTTATCCAGCAATACCCACCGTTAAGCTCTTTAACTTTTTCCGTATTTTTGTGTAGGCCTCTATATTAAATTTTAGGTAGATAAGCCCTCAAACTGACCCATAGTGGCAAATTAGCGGCTCATATAACGGTTGTCGTCCATCTTCATTAATATAGCTGATGTGTCCCGTTAGTTTGCGTTGACATGACACTCAAAAAGGATTAATTTCAATTGTCTATAAACTAGTAAAATTTCAATAGGAACCAACCCAAGTGCAAGGAAAACGTAGTTAACGATATTGAAGTTGAAGGTATCCACTCTAGGAGCTGTTGCATTCCATCTCTTCTCTTTGTGTTTTATAATGCTTTCCAATCCCAACCCCTTTCTCAATTCGTTATCTTCTTTTCAAATCTCAATTCATTATCTTCTTTTCAAATCCCAAATGAATTTTTCTCCAACCTTGTTTCATTGGTTTTGAGCTTAAAATTTTAATGATATTTTTGCCGAGTTTTAGCCCTTGTTTGGATAGAAAATAGTAAAGTGAAGGGAAGGGAGGGGAATGGAGGAAAATAAAAGGAAATGGAGGGGGAGGAAAAGAAAGGGAAGGGAAGAAAATAGAAGGAAATGATTTGTGTTAATTTTGTTTGGATAAATAAAAATGAGGAAGGGGAAGGGAAGGGAAGGATTGTATTATTTTATATTTGGATAATTAAGGTAAAAGGAAGGGAAGGAAGGAAAAGATTTAAATTAATTTTAAATTTACAAATTTATCCTTTAAACTTGTAATGGAGAAGAATATAATAAAAAAATTAAGGTTAATTTTGTAATTACATTTAACATAATCTAAACAGTCACTCAAATCCCTCCCAAACCCCCCAAATCGGGCGGATTGGAAATTTACAGATTTGAGGGTGGTTGGAGGGAGTCCGAATCAGTCCATCTCCCTCCCCCTCTGCCTCTTTTGGAAACCCAAACAGGAGGGAGGAGACAGCTCCCCTCACTCCCCCTCCCTTGCCATTCGTCCCCATCCCTTCCTCTCCCTCTCCGTCTGACACCTCCAATCCAAACAATACCAGGGTTAATGTAATCCAAGTAGTCTTCTTAAAAGTTTTTTTAGATGACATATCTAAAATCTTAATTTCTAATTAATATTTTCAATAATTAACAGTTAAATGAAAGTTCTATTTATGTAAAGTAATGTAAATTTTTATATTAATTTAATACTTATAATCTTTTAATCAAGGTTTTTAAAACCGGATTGATCATTGAACCGTTTTCAGGTCTGGTTTTTGGTTTGACCGGTTCAATCGGTTTAACCGATGAACCGACCGATTCAAATAACAAGGGAAATTTGATGAGAGGGATAGGTAATTTTGTAATTTCATTAAAATTAAGGGTTAAAATCGATATAAGAAAGGAATGGTAAAGGTGAAATTAGAAAAATCAAAAAGAAAATTGCATGAGAAATTGAACCGGTGGTTTTTCTGGTTCTATCGGTTCCATCGGTTTCACTGGTTTTGATCGGTTTTAAACGGTTTTAATCAGTTTTGAACGGTTTTTGATCGGTTTTGACCAATTTTGACCAATTTTGACCTCAAATGGTTTTTTTATATGAACCGGGCCGTTTTCATTACCGTTACCGGTCCGACCGGTTCAACCAACCGATCCGGTCCGATTTTAAAAACCTTGCTTTTAATAAAAAAGGAACTCTATTATAATGATATATATTCAACCGTATTAAATTTTATGTAGTCACTAAACTGATCATGTCATCAATCTAAAAATTGATATGTACAATCCATGTAAATAAAATTTTCAATTAAACTATTAATTTTTTAAAAATATTAATTAAAAAATGAGTTTTTAAATAAGTCCTAAAAAAATTAAGAAGACAACATACAAAATCCTTTTTTATTTTGTTAAAACCTCTATAATAATTTTAATTATTGAGGGGTTTTAAAATTTATTACACTGATTGATATGCTCTCTAATTCAATACACTAGCAACACATTTATTAAAAAATTATTATTATTTATTTAAAATTAAAAATAAATAAATTTAAAAATACAGTTATATATATAGGACATAAGAATAAAATTAATTTGAAATCAAATTAATTCAATTTTGAAAATAAAATAAATTTTAGGGATAAAATTAAAAAAATCTTAAATTAATTTAAACGTAATTT